AAAAAAAAATACAACTCCATAATAAAATAATAAATAACTTTAAACATATGCCTAAATTTATCATTAGGGAATTTTTTTTCAACAAATTTCATTTATTTTTCAGTTTCATATCGATAATATCGCGATATATTGCCCAAATAAAGCATGAAGAAGTAGGAAATTATCGCCTCCGACATTATCGCAATAATATCGACTAAAATATCGATATATTGACGATATTTAAGTGGATATGGGCTAAAATATTGCCCATTCAAAAAAAACGATATTATCAGCGAAATATCACGGATAATATTGATATTTAATACTGTGGTTGTGAGGATGACCTTTGGTTGTAGAAAGGTTCCTCGGTTGTGAGAATGATCCTCGATTGTAAAAATGTGCATCGGCTCATGAAGCCAAAATTAGGATGATCCGTGGCTTTGAAAGTAATCCAAAGTGGGAATTTAAGGCCTTATGGCCTGTGCGTTTTCCATTAAATGGCCTATTTGGTGTTTTAAATACATTATATTATGTGTGACAATTCATACATAAATATATATGTTTGAAGCCATCTTGTTGATACTTAGGCCTTTCATGTCGCCTTTAAAGTGGCCTTTCAAAATTTTATTTCAGTTGGAACATTGAGTTCCATTGGCATCCACCATGGTGGATTTAAGAAAATGAGCTTGGATTGAGTGATTAAGGTGGTCAGATCTATGATTCACTCATCTATATCCGATATCTGAAAAAATACTATTAAACGGCTTGGTGAGTAAGTGATCTATCAATTTTTGAACTGAAAGCACAAAGAATTTCAATTCATTTACTCTTTCATTGACGTTAGGCTAAAAGAATCGAGGGGGCGATGTTTGAGCCTAAATATATTCCATTAAACATAGTGAGTATTCATGGTGGGTTTCTGTCGTTGAAGTAGAAAAACAGGAGGCTAGTTGGGTTATTGGTGACTTAACTCAAGGCCATTGGACATAGTCCTTGAAAAAGTCATGAAAGAAGCTCAATACAAAAAAGGGAGATTCACTAATATACCCAATATAGGAGCCCAAATTATAAAAATACCCTATATGAAATGGACTTTAGAAACACACCCAAAACCCATTTATAACATAACAAAAAGGCTTTTAACTTCTTTTAAATTACAAAACTGCCATTGATTTCTCAAAACAAACGCAACCCCAAAATATATAAACAAGCCCAAAATACTCAATAGGACATCAAAGTAATTTAATAATCAAAATTAAATTCAATATGGCCAATTGTCATTTTTTGGGTTTGTGTATAGAAATTAAATGATGTAGGGTTTATTTATAGTTTTAGTGCTAAGAATGGGTATTTAACTAAATATCTCTACAAAAAAACTCAAAAAACACCCAAAACAAGCCCAACTCAATTTTATAAAAAAAAACCCAAACAATTCATTACAAAAAAAACGTCTCGAAAACTATAGCCGCTTTATTTTTATTTTTCAAAGAACACCACCACACCTACCACTAACAACCACTTACAAAATCACAAAAAATAAAGAGAAGCAACCATTCAACACAAAAAGCTGAAGAATTTCAAGCAGAAAAGGGTTCAAAGGTACGACATTTAAAAACCACACATTTACTGTCACGTTGATTAATGGCTGTAATGTTCCAGTCTAGGATAATAACACTGCTAGTTTACTGTCTCGTTGATTAATGGCTGTAATAATGTTCCAGTCTATGGTATTAACATTGCTATATACTATCATGTTGATTAATTACTGTAATATTCCAATCTAGGGTAATAACACTGCTAGTTTACTGTCACGTTGATTAATGGTTGTAATGTTCCAGTCCAGGGTATTAACACTACTATTTACTGTCATTTTGATTAATGGCAGTAATGTTCCAGTCTAGGGTATTAACACTGCTATTTACTGTCACGATGATTAATGGTTGTAATGTTCCAATCTAGGGTAATAACACTGCTAGTGTACTGTCATGTTGATTAATTGTTGTAATGTTCTAGTCTAGAGTAATAACATTGGTAGTTTACTATCAAGTTGATTAATGGCTGTAATATTCCAGTCTAGGGTAATAACACTGCTAATTTACTGTCACGTTGATTAATGGTTGTCATGTTGCTATTTCTAATGCATGTCTACCAAAGAAATGATGAAAAAAGAACAAAACAAACCAACATCCAAAAAGAAAACCAACGATCTAAGTATAAGAAAGATTTCATAACGAGAATTCGAAGCAAAAAATTTGAAAATCGGAGCTCGAAGATGAGGAGTAGAGCTAGGAGCATATGACCGAGGTTCGTTCGTGTATATATATACGTATATAATATATGTATTTATATAAGCCAAGTCAAGACAGTTCCTAAGCATAGTCCATGCAAAAACAGTCCTGTGTAACAAACGAGTTCCTAGGTCACTGAACAATAATATGCTTGCCATTTAGCACTAATTAGCTCGATATATAGAATTTCAATTTCGGTTTTGAAGTCCATGTGAAAGTAATATTATTATTGTATATTTCATTTTCTCACTCTTGTTTTCTTCTTTTTTTTCAATTTGAAAACAAATATTCATCACAAAGGTAAAGTTGATATAGACATGGATTTTGCATCATTATTATTCGTATCAAGATCAAATCAAGATATTAGATAGGAGATTCGACCAAGAAAAAATTCTAGATATTAACTTCGTTTTATTTAAATCTTGAATTTCTAACAATGGCCAGAAATAGATAGAAAGCAAGGGACAAAAAGATGATGGTTGACGAGAATGCGGGCAACAGTGGTCCAAAGCCTAAACATGATGAGACTGCAGAAGACAAGAGTCTCAGACCAAAAAAAAAAGAGACAAGAGTCCAAAGCATAACCCTAAACATGAGGCCGCCCATCCTCCTACCTTAACGTACCTTTATCTCAGCGACAGGTATGACTTTGATTTCACCATATGCTGTTTTGGGAAGAACAGAAAGGTGCGGCCTTTGTTTTTTTCAGGTGCATCATATATATGTGTGTTTATAGATAGTATACTTACGATTCTCTAGAAGCTTACCCCGTACAATATGGTGTCATAATCCGAATAATCAAATTTCAAGTTCCTCCGTGATTCCAAAAATTTATCAAATCTAAATATCACTTACTCTTTGTTTGGATCGAGGAAAATAACTCAGTCGAAGAAGAATATCTAGTCACCAAAAACAGGGAAAGTGTTAGAGCAGACAAGGCCTCATTCACCGAACCTGACCTACTCAAAGACATGTGGCAGTTGAGTGTAGACGGAGCGTCAAATCATAAGGGAGGTTGAGCAGGTGTCATCATAAACACCTCATATGGAACTTTGTTTGAGCAACCCATCACACTGGGCTTTCCAGCCTCAAACAATGAAGCAGAATACGAAGCATTGCTCGTTGGACTATGCTTTTGGTAAGGGAGCTATTGATCAAGAGGTTTGCCATCTACTCAGATTTCCAGCTAATCACCAATCAAACTTCAGGCGAGTACATGGCGAAACACCCAAGGATGATCCAGTACCTTAGACAAAGTCAAAGAGCTTTTGAAGGCATTCCCTACCTGCACCATCCAACAAATTCCTCGGGCAGAGAACACAAATCCCAATCATATCATTGGGCCCGAATTGACTAAGTCTCATCCCAATCTAGGGTTATCTTAGGCCCGAATTAGGTTTCTGAACCCAATCAAGTGAACATTGACCACAACACTGGTTTTTCTGTTTGGCTAGGTACCGTTTGTACTTTCCAAGTCATAGACGCATGATTGAAAGAATATTGAAGTCCTCTTAATTGAGGCATACAAAAGAACTCATCCGAGCCAGTACCCCCCTTGGAGCATAATGGCTTAATTAAAGGTCTAGAATAAGCACAAATTCATCAAACAAAGTATTTTACATCGCCTATACTAGGTCTATTGGGCTAGTCTCATCCCCAATAGTGGCACGCTTGCACAAACTATAGATCGGGCCAGAAGAAACAAGTTGCCAGAGGCCAGCCCAAGCTTTCCCGTCGTTTTCAACATGATCCAACTTTCAGTTTTGTCTGAAATTGAACAAGTCCTCTCGCGAGCCAAGGATCCAATCGGGGCATTGATGTTGACCTGGCCTTCTCCTTTCTCCCGCTCTACTCTCAAGAAGGATCGACAGTAGAGAAAGAAAAAAGGCATCAACATGATAAAAGGCAACTTTTGGGGCAACTTTTCGTTCAATAATTGACACAATAACTCAACATAGCATTTCTTTAAGTTTAAACCTTCCGATATCTCTTCTATATCGCCAGCAGAACCAAGTCTTTGTTTAAACAGTAAGTCAAATGTAAAGTTTAAACCTTCATCAGATCCTCCTTCTAGATCGCATGTAAAGTTTAAACCTTCATCATATCCTTCTTCTATATCGCCAGCAGAACCAAGTTTTTTTTTCTTTTAATTTTTAATTTTTTGTATTGGCTTTTTAGCTGAACTAAAGTCTCTTCCTTTAACTTCTTTGTTTTCAGGAATTCGATGACAAGCCTTGAAGGCCTAGTCGACTCAAGCATCTCAGACAACCAGCAGAAGAACTTGCAGGTTCTTTACTCCATTCATTTTGCTAACATCTGTTTCTCTTTCAGCATTTGATCAGAAGATTATTGCTCGCATACTAATTAGCTCAGAAGTAATTCAATTTTATTTTTCATATTTGAAAAAACAAGAGCTACTTTCTTTGGTATTCAAACAAAAAATTGAACGGAAATATTGATAAAATTGACTCAAAAACACCTAAATTGCAACGGAAATATTGATATTGGTAAAAGCTCAACATAAACAATGCAAATTTTGAGAAAAACATGGAACTTAAGATACGTTTATTTGATAAACTACATACTAGTTTGCAAAAGAAAATTAAATGAACTTAATTGTATGGAGCAAACATTGTTACTAAGAAATTGTTCACTAAGTTACTGAAATTTGAATAGATTAGGCAAACTAAACTCAAATTTTTCCCTTTGAAATACAACTATTTATGTATTACTCAAAGTCAAATAGTTCTTTCCTCCAACCCTGCAGACTTTAAATTTGAGTACGCAGCTTATATTAAATTGTTTCAAAATAATTTAACTCAAAAACGATTTTGTGGTTAATTTTTCTTCAGTTTATTATATTTTCATTTATGGACTCTAAATTTATTTTTATGATCGTTTCAACCTAAAAAGGTTTAAATTTCTAAAACAAAACTTTAAATAATAAATAGTAAACGACAAACACACAAATTAAGAACAAATAAGTAGGTATATACTTTTGGATAACTTTTGAGGTTAGATTAATGAAAATTATGTCCGTGCATTTCGTTTTGGGCCGTTGGATTTTTATAAAAAATTAATTCTTGGGCGTTTGATGGAAGGGTAACTATTAAGTTCAGATGAAAAAAAAAACCTTCAAATTCTGGCGAAAAACAAAAATTAATTCTTGCAGCGGGGCCCTTTAAAGTTAAAAAAAATTACGCACAATCCAAGCACGTCTTTCTGGGCCTATCATTTTGCCTGGATTGGAAACAATGGCCGAATTCCGCCTAGATTTCTGCCCGACTCAAATTTGGCCCATCCGTATACACCCATTGTTCTGGGCTAAATCCAAAATTTTGGGTTTGAGACTATCCGATTCCCATTGGACAGGGGAATTTGAATGAATATAACATACGTAACCTTAATTAATGATTTACTAGTGTTATCGACACGTCATCCACTGCAAGTTGGGTTAGTAATCAAAATAATACTCACGATAATCCAATAGTTAGTCAATAATTTTTTTTAAACATAAGCAATGAATTTGTAGCTCAAGTAATTAAAAACATTTATCCATACACCCAAGATTCTAAGTAATTAATAACATTAGCAATAGGAAAATAATAATATTACATTTAGAGTTTTGGAGAATTCTGAGAAAGAATCTTAGCTAGAGATTCTTGTTATGCAAAAGTTGTGAGTGATTGTGATTTTTTAAAAGGAAGACTCACTATTATACCAAATATAGGAGTCCAAATTATAAAAAAAAATAAATAAATAAATAAAACCCTATATGAAATGAACTTTAGAAACACACCCAAAGCCCATTTACAACATAATAAAAAGGTTTTTAACTTTTTTTAAATTACAAAACTGTCATTGATTTCTTAAAACAAACTCAATCCCAAAACCTCATAAAAAGCTCAAAACACTCAATAGGGCATCAAAGTAATTTAATAGAGATTTTCTATTTAAACCCCGCACTTCTCTTTGTTCACCCCAATACTTAAATCATTAAGCTGTAAGTTTTATTATTGTGTAAAAAGACAAAAAAGGTCATCCAACTTAATAATTAACTCTAGTATATCTATACACACACCCCAACTTCCTATTTACAAACTCACTCTCTCTCTCTCTCTCTCTCTCTCTCTCAACAATACCTAAGGGTTTGGGGTTCCATATGTTTGTGTTTTTTTTCTGCTGGGAACAAAGAAAATTGTGGGGTTTAAATAGAAAATCTCTTTTATTTCTCATTTTTTCAGTTTTTGGGGTGTATTTAAGGGTAGTTTGGGAAGACAGTGGGGTTTTCTTAGAAATTATGAAAATTTAAATTAAAAAATGGGGTGAACTTAGAACATGGGGTGAACTAAGAGAAGTGTGGGATTTAAATAGAAAATCTCATTTAATAATCAAAATTAAATTCAATATGGCTAGCTATCATTTTTTGGGTTTGTTTATAAAAATTAAAAGATGTATGGTTTATTTATAATTTTAGTGCTAAGAATAGGTATATGACTAAATATCTCTTTTTAAAATAAACATTTTTGTAGGGGTTAGGTGCCTAAAATCTTTGGGTGTGGATTACATAAACGAATCTTTTATTTTTTTTGGGAGGCCTCTTCTAATGAAAGGGTTGATAAATATCTACAAACTCACACACACGCCGATGCGAGGGCTGCACTTACCATGTCACCCATTTAATTGGTGGATAATGATTCATTTGTACGAAATTACAAAAACACTCACGGTCAAGCGGAATAAGTGAACCACTTTAAATTTGAGAGGGCAATGTGAGATTTGACTGTAATTTAAGGGGAATTGATGTAAATAAATCTATTATTTATGATAAAAATAGAATGGGTTGGTGGATTTCAAGTTACAAATCGGTCTGGTTCGATTTTTGGACCTATGTCGACTTTTTTTGTCAAAACAGCTTTTTCAGACTTGGTTCGTCTAATTTGCAGTTCCAATGCCCGCCTCTAATTTCAGCTCGCTGTATTTAATTATTTAATCTAAATAATTAAATAAGGGACCGAAATAATTACTGGTCAACAGTTTGGTACTATGTTGTTGGTCGCCATTAATCTGTTTAACTCATTCAAGGTGTGCTTGGCTTAAATTTATGTAAGATTGTACTAAATGAGAGACTAATGATGTAGGTGGGTTCCGTGGAGGGATTGGTAGATATTTGCAACAGGTACAATCAAATTTAAAGGGTTGTCTGCTGGTTGTTGGGAGCACCAAGTAGGGGGTATGGTGGAGGGATATTGGTAGATGAATTGATCACCAGTGAAGGCAGGCTGCACGTTGCAAGGGAAGCTCCCACAAGTAGATAGAGAGAAGCTCTCACGAAAGAGAGAGTTTCTCTGGATCTCCAGCAGAACAACTAAGTGTTTGTTTAGCGGAACAAAGTCTCTTGCCTCAAGGCTTCGAAATTTTTGCAGGTTCCATTCATTTTGCTAAACTCTCTTTTTCTTTCAGCTATGATCAGAAGAGTACTGCTCACATTTACTTAACTCAAAACTATTTCAATTTTGGTTATGAAGTCGGTCCGGCCGAAACTATTTGTTTAATTTGCTGCTCTTCTTTTCTTCTTCATGTTTGAAAAACAAAAGAGCTTGCTAGTTTCTTTGGCCTAAACTTAGGGAATGAGAGAAGATCAACAACAAAACATGAAAAACGTGAACAATTACTATCTGTCAGATGCAAACAAAATCTTCAGAATTAATTAGGATGCTTTATGGATAAAACTGAGTTCAAGGTCTTATAAAATTAGAGCATCTACAATTATGCTCCCTATTTTTTAGTTAAAAGTTAGCTAAAAACACACAAAAGCTATTTTAGGAACTCTCTATAAAATTTGAACTCCAATCATACTGTCTAGTTTAGGGAGTCATAAAAACTATAATGATTTTTTAATTCAATATAATTGGTCCATCTTTTTAAAAAAAATAAATAAATACATAGTTAGCATTAGTTAAAAGTTTAAAATATGCATAAAACAAAACAACATTAAATTATAGGGAGTCACTAGGAGTATTTTCTCTCCCCTTAGATTTTGGAGCTCCTAGAGGTGGATAGAGAGCATGGTTGGAGTTGTATTTTTCCAATTCCTCCCTAAAATTTGTCTAATGAGGTGATGTAGGGAACCCATTGTTAATGCTCTTAGATATTGGCTCTGACAGAAATGTTAATTGCACAGAAACACAAATATTTTGATATGTCTGTAAAAGGTTCAAGATACACAATGCAAATTTTTAGTAAAATCATGGAAATTTTGAATGAATATTTTTTTGATAGGAAAGGTTCAAGATACACAATGAAAATTTTTAGTAAAATCATTGAAACTTTGAATGAATATTTTTTGATAAAAAAGCAATATAATTTTATTATATCAATAAAAATAAACAGTACAAAGGAAACAAACTGCAAAGGATGTAAAGGGAACCATCCCAATAACAATATGGCAACCATGAAAATAATTTTTCTAAAACCGCTTTCAACCACCATAATTTCCCCAAATCTAGTTCAATGACTTTCAAAGACAAAAACTAGCCGTTAATCGGTATGATTCTTTTAAAGAGACTAAAAACACCCAACAAACTCAACTAAGTTTCTAGAATCATGAGAAGAAGAAAAAAAGACAGAGAACTCATAGAGTTTCTGGACTTTATTGAACAAACTAAAGCAACATTGGTAAAAGGAAAACCAACTGCCGTTAATCTTCCATCGAAGAATGAATATTTAAGATACATTTATTTGTTCAACTATCTACGTGTTTGTCAAAAGAAAACTAATGAAATTAACTTGATTGTGTTGTGGGGTTGTGTGACCTCAATTAAATGATTTACGTACACTGCAATCATTGTATATATACAACTATTTGCACTTCATACACTGCAAATTGAACTAGTACACTGATAAAGTAGAGAAATATGACAACAACATATAATTAATGTATCTTAAGAAACTACGTAACTAATAATAATAACATTAATTTAGAGAATTAAGCAATTATAATAACATTAGCGAAGCGATGTTATTAATTTGTAAAACTAGGCAGAGGGATATTGGCCATTTGAAATCTGTCTTATCAAAGCTGTATGTGGTTACGTTGCACTTGCAGGGAACGACAAATCAATGGAAGAAACGAAAGAGCTAAGGAACGAAAAAAGGTCAACGAAGGAGACCGTGGAGTGTAGTTCAAAGCCTAATCGTAAATTTGTCGCACGCCCTATGCCCCCGAAGAGGAGTCAGATCAAGCGTCAGATCTTTGATCAGATCTTAAGGTATACTTTTTACACAAACAAATAGGGGTTTCATTTTACCAATCTTTCAAGACTTATAATTTAGAGTGTTGTTAAACGAACTTTAAAATTAACTGAGTACACCCTATGATCTAAGTACACCTAAATATTTTAATTAAAATATAAAATTAACTAAGTACACTATGTTTGTACAAATTTCTCACGAGAGAATATTCGTGGACGAATCTTCTCTCTAGACCGTTCCCCTGCTAGTTTTCCTGCAAGACAAATGGTGATCAACGGAGAACCACCGGTGTGATGGTGGCCAAGGGCCCTCCGCTGCCTAATTCAGTAAAATAGTCTTGGAATATTCAAATAATACTAACAGGACAGAGATAATTCTCTACGGGAGAGATGTGTAGCGTGGGAGCCAAGTAGGTAAGAGAGGTGGTGACAACCTGGGCTGGTCAGCCACGAGTGTGAGAGCAAGAGGGGAATTCGACTGGGGCGAGAGAGAGAGAGAGAGAGAGAGAGAGGGAGAGTGTGTATGAGTGTGTGTGTGTGTGTGTGTGTGTGTGTGTGTGTGTGTGTGTGTGTGTGATCTCTAGGGTTTTCCCAAGTGAGGAAGAAGTTTAGAATTACCTTTTGTTAGGGCCCAAAAAATCTCAAGAAAAGCCCATGCATATTTTAAAGACCAATGCACTATCATGCTATAAAAGCAGCCTAGCCGATACATACATGCCATGCTAAGTAAGGCTATAATTTGGCACGTGGGGAGGTGGTGGTACGAGTTTATCACTTTCACATGCAAACTTGTAAGAATTACAAAGTTTCACAAGTCCAAGCCCACCTAGCCTACTACACTGTCAAGCATTACCTAACACAAAGCCCAAGCCACTGTAATACAACATAGCCCAAGCACAAGCATGCGATAACACTCAATGGCAAGCAACTCCCTTTTAGTGTCAAATATAGCAACAAGCTTAAGTGGGCTCAAGCCACTTAATTACATGTCTGGGGCTTGTGGATCAGTTTGTGGTGTGGATGGTTACAAGATTCAAAAGGCCCATTAGAGGTTCAAAAGGTGGAAGTTTTGTGTTGGGGACCAAAACCAGGCCCATTTTCTTGAGTCATTAAATGGGTAAGCAGAGAAAAGAGTTTTCACATCTATCCCCCACCAACACCTACCCATATCCAGCCTCAAGTACCCACACGGCACTAAAACCAACTATACGGCACCAAAACAAACTATACGACAGCAAAACAAGCTACCTTATCTTTTCTCTCGTATAAACCAACTGCCCAGCTCCTACATAGAATGAAAAAGTCATGTCGTCTCAGCTAGGAGGCAAAACGACTAAAAGGAAACAACCACTTTGAAGCCGGAGAAGTAGGCCAAACCAGCTTGATACTAGAGTGCACGTGTGTGGGGAAGTAAGCTCGCAAATCCTATAAAAGGGAGATAGGAGTAGGTGACGGGGTGAGGGAATCTACTGCCGTAAACACCCAAACACCCAGAAAACCAGGCTTAACGTCTACACCCTACCCTTTTTCTTATGATAATATCCTTCCAAACCCCAAAAGTCACTGATCGCCCATATCTTTCTACAATGCCTTTTGTTCCAACCCAAGCAGTAGAAGCTCTCATTCTTTCTTGCTAAACTTGTGGAAACTTAGCTCCCACATCACAAGCCCTTCAAGCCAAGCATAACTTTCTAGTTCTTTTACCATAGTCATCACATTCTTAATGGGAAAAACCAGAGCATTCCCTGAAAATCTACATTTCCTCGAAGTGTTTTGGGGCCTGGTTTCGAACTCAGGCAAAGGAGCATCACAATTATCTCCTTACGACAACCCAAGTACACATTGAGCTGCCGTAACCAAACAAGCATCTCATGCCAAGTTCAATATCTTGATACATCAAAGCAAACTCTCATGCCAAGCCTATCTATGTACAATGTCGTACACCATCCAGCAGCGCCCGTACACCATCTAGCAGGCCTGTATCTCATCCCGCAGGCATCGTACCTCATTCGATGCATAAATAACCATCCATCTTTGTAAACTCTTCTTTTCCATTTAAGGAGGAAATAATTCTCTAGAATTATTCATTTCTTGAATCTTTTCTTGCTTTCATGTGGTAGATGTTAAATTTCAGATAGATGGGCTAACAGCTCACTACTAGCAACAGGGACGGATCCACAGAGGAGCAAGGGTGGTCAAGTGACCCCTGCAACCCCTGAAATCCTCCATTAGAGAGTGGAAATTTGACCCCTGCAACCTGTTTGATGAAAGTCCCCAAAGGGGCTGCTGTTCTGTCTTGTTGCTGCTGCTGTCCTCCTTCAGCCCGCGTCAATTTTTTCTCTCCTTCGACGTCAAAACGACGTCATTCCACTTATGTATTTTTTAAAACCTAGCCAAAACGACGTAGTTTTGGCTCAAGTTATAATTTTTTTTTTAATTTAAAAAAAACTGAAACAGAGGCTGCAAAGCTACTGCCCGATAACTCCCCATCCCCAAATGTGTTTTCACTTGTTTTTTCCATTTTCAAACCCCACCCCACCTTTTTTTAATTTTATAGTTTTGTACCAGTTTAGCTGTTTTTGCTGGCTTTCTCTGGCGCCTTTTGTTTCTGGCTGCCTCCTAGCTTTGCATGTGTTTCTTTTGTTTTATGCTTCGTTTGGTTGTTGCTTGCTTCTCCTTTTGTTGGTTGCGCTAGCCTATTTTGGCTGTGTTTATGAAGATCTTTTTGCCAAAAATTAAATTTTTTTTTTTTTCTAAAAAAAAAAACCCCTAATCCTAGCAGATGACATCCCCATTGGTTAGTTTGAATAAATTAGGATTTTTTTAATTAGATTGTATATGCTTTAGTTATATTATATCTTGATAAATTGAATTAGTTTTTATGTTTGATAATTAATGAATATTCTTATACATTTTTTGTTTTATTAGTTGTTGGGAATTTATTTTGGTTAGTTTGAATAAATTAGGGGTTTTTGAATAGATTGTATCTGTTAGTTTGTATGCTTTAATTAGAGTTATTTCAAATACAATTATAGAACGATACTTTAAGAGAAAATTCTCATCAACTACTTCTAGTTTGGATAATGTGGGTAGTTTGAGTTCGAGAGATGTGGTGGGTAGTTGGAAAGAAAGTGAGTTGCAAGATGAAAACTCGTCGTGGACAATTGTAATATGATTTTTTCAATTAATTATGAATTATAATATTATCATTTTATTTTTATGGGTCTGTTATTTTGAATATAAATTTTTTAACCTTTAAGACGTTGACCTCTGGAAAGAAAATTCCTGGATCCGTCCCTGACTAGCAACACCGATATTGTCCCCAACTTAACTACTTACAAAGCCCAGTAGATGTGGGGTTTTATCACAAATAGTCTCGGTAATATTAGTAGTTGAACAATTCATTATATATTTTATTTTATTTAGTCAAGTTTCCGATATGGAATTTATATTCTTCAACAGTATATTCACTACCAAATGCCTTTTTTTAAATGATTATTTGTCTTCAGCCACAATTCTTGTCGTAGCGGCCATAAAGGAGAACTTGGGATTGCATGCCCAGTTCGTTCTTTCTATTTCTTTCTTTTTTCGTTTGTCTGCAATTGATTGCAAGACTAATTTCTGAAATCCAAACTTCGAAAAGCTTGACGACACTTGGATGCATGAGTTCCATGTCCTTTTTTTTATTTTTCTTTGTTTTATTTTTGTTTTCAGCACAGTTGTCTTCTTCTTCTTTGATGTTCAGGACATCAATTTTTAACGAAGACAACTTGATTTGTCGTGTGCCTCATACATAGGCTTGTAATTATCGCTTGGTAATTACATGCATTCCTCCTTTGCTTTTGACTCCGTGGTGGGCACACCACCACATCCTGGTCGTGCTGCCTTATCTCCAGGAAACGGAAAATAATCATCAAGGGGAAACCCTTTTGTCTCTTGCCATGCACTTTTTGTTGGCTGCTGCGTTGTAGCAGACTTGGCTTGGTTTTGTGATGATTGAAATCTTCATGACAATCCCCACATATTGAATTTTTTGTTTTGAGATGCTTGATCGCAGAGATAGACTTCACGGTCTTGCTGTTTGAGATGCTTAAAAACATCGCGGAGAGACCCAACGATCTTGTGGCTTTGGATGCTCAAGGCACTTTTTGTTTTGGAAGCTGAAGGCATCGTGGTATCCCCACAAGCATGGAGCAAACTCTCTCATTGTCTTGAAGCCTTCAGATTTAGATGGCTTGACCATCCTATAATCCTTACGGATTATAACTTGCTCTTGGCTGTTCATGGATATATCTCAGAGTGAGACTAGGTCTCGTGGCATGCAGGAGAAACAAGAAATTCATGGCAAATTTCTTTTACCTTGCAAGCTTTCGGTGGAAATCTGCCAGCAGCTTATTGTCCTCAGTTTTCTGATGCTCTTCCCTCTGCGTGATCTGTCAAACAAAGTAGGGTAAATATTCAGTTATGCTAAGATGCGATAATATTATTATTCTTCTCCAATATGGAGGTATTTATACAAGTACAAAGATATGTTAACCCTAAATAAAATAGGAAATATATATAAATTATAATAGGAAGTAAATCTCTATTACAATAGGACTAAATAATAATTGGAAAGTAACCAAAATTCTAATGAAATAAGGAACCAAAATCCTAACTAAGTAAGGACTCGCCAACACTCCCCCTCAAGTTGGGCAAAGATATTTCGCACGCCCAACTTGACAAGCGAGTCACAGAACACCATATTTGAGAAGCACCAATTGTAGAGAAGGTCTTTTCGTCAACCACGAGTGAAACAAGTGACAACATAAAGCAAAGTTCACAGCGAAAACACAAGAGCAAACCCTAAAAAATAGGGCACATAGCAGAACACAGAAACCCTGTGAGCACGGCAGCAGATAAGGCATAACACAGAAGCCCTGTGAGCACGGCAGATAGCAGAACACAGAAACCCTGTGAGCACGGCACCTGTGAGCACGGCAGAAGATAAGGCAGAAACCAAACCCTAAAAAATAGGG